CCCCAAAACCCCAAAACCCCAAAACCCCTCTTCCAGGTTTTACAATTATCATTAGAAATTATAATATAATGAGTTGATTAAGAAAATGCAAAGATTATAAGAATCCTAGAGATCCATTTATCAAAAGAAGTTAAATACTTAAATTCATGAATTCCTCATTATCTTTCAAAAGCTTATTCGATCAACCCAGCAACTTGCTCATCACTTTTTTTTGATAAAATTTTAATATTGTATTATATCCTCATATCCTCTCCTCGAAATTTTGACTTTATCTCGTCAGAAGGCTTATAATATTCCAAAAACTCTGGCTCCATATCCTAATATCTGAACTCTCCTAAAGTTTAATACCCAAATTTTTTGCAGAGATGAAATGTCTCAGGAGCTCCACAAGTCATATGAATAGCATTAAAGCCTCTAGATTCTGCGATATTCTCGAATGCTTCATACATGCGATTAAGGATTCCTTTGCCTCTATGCTCTCTAAATACTATTATTAGGCGAACTCTCATTTTTCTCATTTCATTTGTGAAAAATTCTGGATGATTTTCCTTAGCTCTTTTGGTTGTTTCAACAAGTGAATTGATAATGCTTCTCAATCTATCTGAAGGAATAGAAATTGAGTCTTGTGGCTGATCTTGATCAAATACAACGAAACTTCCTACTAGTTCTTTAGTTTAAATGTTTTCAACGAATATAAAGCTATCATTCTGTAGCATTTTATCTTTCATGAGATCAATCATCGTTTTCTGAGATTTGAAATCTTGATTAAATGAATTCGGAATTGGGTCGTCAATCTAGACTTCAATAATTTTAGTATAATTAGACTCAAACTCCTCAATCGAATGTGGAAGTCGAAATATATAGTCTCCTGATCTATAAATGATATTTGATAAATTTTCCATTAATAAATAGCTTCTAGATACCTCAATTAATATTTATACTAATCTTCTTTGTTAAAAATATCCAGATTTCAGAACAACGGGGTTTTGGGGTTTTGGGGTTTTGGGG